TTTCAGCACATCTCTGCAGCCACCGGTCGGATTTAGCTTGTAGACAGTAGACTATTGCAGAATGCTGTAGTCCATAGCTACACGATCCAATTGGTTTGAGGTCGATTGGAGCTCTGTGGATGGAGATCTGCCTGCTGGAGCAAATATGAAGTTACTCCACCGGTGGAGCAAACAGCATTGCCGATTATCGGCGTGAAGGCTGAGATCAGAATCCATTTGTCGTCTTTCTTGGTTCTTCTTCCATCTATCGCTGTCGCATCGGGAACTGTCACGTTTTCCTGCGGAGTTCATAGGTTGTCAATGCATGTGTTTGCATGTCCTTGGAATTGACGGGAAGTAGTGAACCTGATGTTTTCCTATTTGTCTTAACCCTTGCCGCAAGTACCGCGACGATTTCCACTCTCTGACGGATAGTATTCTGTAGAGGAAGGCCTTGGCATGTATTCCGAAAACGTGTTGGTTTGAATGTTTCATGTTTTGGGTTTCGCAGTGCCCCGTCCACGGTTGATGGGAGGAGGCTGACATTGGGCATTGTTTGTACGTTGTTTTCAGGCATGCTGTCCCAATTGTGCACGCCATTCCCATATTTCGCGTTTTAGACTACATGCAGAGAGAGCTCACATTTTGACAGTGCATGAGTTCTTGTCCTGGGAATTCACAGCAGTGGGACTGATGGATATTTCTTCATACACGTGGCAGAACGGCAGCTACCGATAATTTCCACTGATGATGTATACGAACGCGTTGGGGATTTTATCCTCACTTTGAAGTTGCCGTGCTTCTTTGCGTATATACTCTGGAAGAAGGGTTTGGCATGGATAGACAGTTTGAGTATTTGGTGGGGGACATACATTCATTCCTGCACGGCAGAATTGACCACAATGTTTCGAATGAAACCTACAAATATATGTGTAGTTCCACAATAATATTGAAATTTTGTGGATGACGAAGGGCAAACACTTCAGAGGTTCAATGGGTTTCGGACGATGGACTTCTGTTGGGAGATCGACGATTTCGGAGGATAACATCATTTTGGGTGGGTGGATTAGTTCGATTTGGATAGATGACTTGTAGAAGGGCGATCCCCCTTCTGCCGTACCTGGGCCGGCGTCCTCTCTTCACTAAATAACAGTTGAGTCCTCCTGTGTCAAATTTCCTACTTCCCACATAACCCTGCCAGGTCGTACTCGGCCCCCCACGCTTTGAATTTTTCCATGCATCGGTTACCCACTATGGCAACCACCCAGAATGAATGGGCTGCTCATTATGAGCCTACAGTTGGCAGCAACTTTCGCCATAGATGGGCCGTCCAAGGCCATGCCTATGGGAAACATTTCCTGAATGCTCACCATGTGGGCTCCAACGGTGGGCTGCCGACACTTCACAGCAATTCCGCCTGTTATGGGCGGCCCATGGGCGACCAAATTGCCGTCTCCAACATGCTTACCGCGGGTTGGCCGCTATTGATGATCCGTATTTGGCGGGCTGCCTTTGGGTAACCGTCTACCCCGTCTGATCGGAAATGCAAGACCGGTTGGGATACTTGGAATTTATGCGTCAACGGCTTGCAGTTTAGGTTAGGGTAAGGGTTAGTGCACAGGTGGACGTCCACCCCCCTTCCCCAAAATTTTGGATGCCCTCGCCCCCTTGTGGTGACCTTGACAAGGTCTAACACCTTTGAGAAGACAACCAAGGCCTCGAAAGGGAGAAATCGAGGTATTTTGGAGGCCTTGGTTGTCTGCTCCAAGGTGTTCGACCTTGACAAGGTCTCTACAACAAGGGGGCGACGGCATCCAAGATTTGGGGGAAGGGGGGTCGACCTCCACCTGCATGGCTAGATGTTCCTTTTGTTCAGAATTTGATTTTGCATTATGCTCGGGTACGATATAGGCGATGCTTCAGGAAAAAAGAAACTTGGATGGCCATGATTCACCCCCTCCCTGCTGAAATATGCTCCGGCAGCAATCTCAAGCGAACATTGATAGTAAGAAATTGAGTGTGTCAATTTTTTCTCGTACGCCCCCCCAAAAAGTTTTATTCAGACATCTTTTTTCTTGGTAATCATGAGTACTTCAGCCATCGGTTGAAAGGCAAACTACGCGGGGTGCAGCAAGCCCGTCCCGGGCGTTGCTTGGGGCACTGGGAAGTCGACCGTGTTAGGCCGAGAGAGAGAGGTGGTGAGAGGGGTGGAGAGAGAGTGGGAGAAGGAAACTTGATTGGAGAGAGACGGCGGTGGCGGTGGAGAGAGGGAAGGAACAAGTGCGCAGCACGCACGCAAGCAAGCCTCATCGCACCAAGTACGCCAAAAGGGTCACCGTGACTGCACCGGTGGTACCCTACAACACACGAAATTCCCAACACGTATTCCTCTGGGATCTCACGATCAGATACTGGTGCGAGTATATCTAACAACGGTAGAGCGCCATTCTCAATTGTTCGTACTTTATCTTTGGTGTGGACCGGAAGAAAAGCGTCAGGATGGCAAAAATGAGACGCTACGAGAGGCAAAAACGAATGGAAGAAATACTTTTTGGAGAAAACAAACATTTCTTCGGGGCGACAAACGGTATTTACTACCTAGCGAGGAGTTTCGCCGAATGTCGTCACCGGGGCTGTTTTTTAAGATCCTTAATACAGCCTCACAGAACTTAAGCATTTCCATCAGAGGGAGAATGTCGGTAGTCCATGATGGATGGGTTGTGTGTCAATCAGCTGCCCACGATGGGATGCCCACCACAAAGGCTGCCCAACAAAGGCTGCCCGTGGGCTCCCCACCATTTCCTGCCCTGCCCATGAGCTGCCAACGATTCTCTGCCCATGGTGGGCTACCCATGATCTACCCAGGATAGGTTAGCCACAAACCGCCCATGGTGGGCTGCCCATGAGCTGCCCACGATAGGCTGGCATCATCCGCCCATCGTGGGCTGCCCGTGAGTACCCATCGTGGGTAGTCCACCATGGCCATGGGCCGCCCGTCATGGGCATTTTCGGTAGACTATGCCTGTGAGTGCGCATGGGCATGCCCATGAACAGCCCATATGGGTCACCCGTGGGCAACAACCGCCCCATGGGCCGTTTGGGAAAACTGTGGAAAGTGTGGGAGACCCAACCCGAAAGCCGCAGTCTTGACGAACGCAAAATGGTAATAAAGTGGACTCGAAAGGCCCCTGGAAATACACGCTCATGATTCTGGGCACGTGATGGTCGAATCGGGTGCAGGCTCGTACTTGAGATCACTCACGGCGTGAACAGTGCCGCCTGACTTCAAAATGCAACAGAGATCAACAGCTTCTCGCCTGCCCTTGCGTTGCCTCAAAGTTTCAACTTGTGAATGTCCGAGAGCGAGGAGGGAGGGAGCCGGGGATTCGTCATTGCCCAGCAACCTTGGATTAGTTGATACGGGTCACGGAACTGAATTGAACGCTAGGGGAAAATGACAATGTATTAACTCTTCGCGATGTAGAGTACTCCTGTAGGGTTCGTCTCCTTCGCCTAGAATGGACAGAGGAATGTATGTTGGTCGCTTCGCCAGCCGTCTTTTCATCCAGTACCCTGTCGACAAGGGAGAGGGGATATTGACATAATCCGCAGTCTCTGTCGACGCGAAAGCATCATTTGTGCCGCCGAAAATTTCCCTATCGTCTGACTGACTGATTTCAAGGGGCAGCGCTCCAAAAACGCCGGTACACTGAGACCATAAAACTAAATTTCTTCAGCATCTATTTCCACCTGGGTACTCTTCGTCCTCGTGCAAGAGCCCGCCGGTACAATCTCTCACGGAGTTTGATTGCCACGAGCAGTGTAAATCGTGTCGCAACACACCACGTGCGAATAGGCTGCGCTCTGAGTTGCGCTTGTGACCGACTGTAATATCGCATCAGGTGCTTCATACGTACATCGGAGGCCACTTCATCAGGCTATCTCTTGTCATCCGCACGAGCTGCAGACAGAGATTTGAAGCTTTCTCGTTCCACACACTTGACAAGCCCGTGCCAAACGTCATCTAGGTACGCGGTTGTCGTCAGCTTCAAGCCTCACACCACACACCTCCGTCCCCGAGAAAAAAGTAGACCTCCCCTGAATTCGCAAGGAATGCTAGCACCGTGATACCATCTGTATCGGCGGTGATGTCACGAACCGAAATCATTACAACCACAGTGCCTCCAGGAACTAACGGTGAACACGTGTAGCAAATCACATTAGCGGAACTCCAAAAACTCCTGGCCTGGCCACAGCGGATTCGTCGACAGGTTCCGCGCTTGTTTCAGGAATAATTTTGTCAGTCACGTACCAACTCAACAACCGCTGTGGCCCCGGGTGTATTTTTTCGGGTGCTCTGCATCCCTCGGACCGTACGGTGCGGTGGTTGTGGGCAATGCACATGCACACCGCCCCACAAACGGCCATGAGCTGATGTTGAAGTTTATTCATCCGTAACGCGGGCAGGAGGACGACAAGTGTTTCGACTTCGCAAGCTAGTGCGTGCGACCACAGCAGTGGCATTGTTTTCTCTCTCCTTGGGCGAACGATAGCGGGGTTGCTGTTGTTACTTCGTCGTGAGCAACGATGATCGGAAAACGGCTGCCGTGGTCTTGCTAGGGGCCAGATCTGCACAGCTACCGAAAAAATTGAAACAAATAGCCCTTTGAAAGGTGGACGTCATGCTCGAACGAAACAGCTGTGATTTGTGTCTTCCTCTTGGGCACTTAGAGTGAACGGGGGGGTGCACAAGGACTTTTGAATCATGTCTGTCATGTTCGAAGAAAACGGTGATTGTGTGTCTTTTCCTCTTGCGCACAAGTAGCGAAGGGGAGGGTGCACAAGGACGATTCTTTCATTCTGTCATGCTCGCACAAAGCTGTGGTGATGTTGTGGCTGCCTCTTGACTGTGGCTAGCGCTTTTCGAGGGGTTGTCGTAAAACTTCTTGCCTACCCCGCTGGCTGAATGGATGATAAGGTCGCGTTTGGGCACACGTACCACAACCAGGCCAGTTCGGGCCTTATCGTTTTTGCTGAGGCAGCTGTGGACTTTGGAAGCTCAGCGGCGGGGTTTCTCGGCCTATCTGGGTGGGATCAGGGTTGTATCGTAGACTAGAACCGGCGAAGCCGGTATCGCAGATAATGCAGCTGATGCAAGGAAAAATTACAAACTCGTTGTCGTCACCCACCTCGGTCAGGCACAGGGTCACGCAAATGTTGATCGATGGTACAATGTCTCCAACGGCAGCCGCCTGCGATATCAAGTTGGCACGGTTGTGTAATGGACCGGCGAAGAGTAGTCCACACATCTGATAACGGCGCAGCTCTGCGGACGTGGTTTGGTGAGATGGAGAGCGCATCGGATAAATATGCACGATGTGGGCGGCGTAGGTGATGATAGAACCGAAACAGTCTCTGCGCGCTTCGGTCCCCCAGTCTATCAAACTCGTACGAAGCAGGTTTGGTCTGCGTGTAGACAACACCAAGAAGAATCGCGCACCTTGTCTGTATCAGGCCGACTGCTGAGTAACGCGAGGACCACCACGACCGTCGTGATCACGTACGCACAGGCGATGCCGATAGTGCACACTATGTTCCGGATCACCACCCGGCGGTACACCGCGCCGCCGGATTGAGTGTTGCCGTGCGACACAAGCATTGGCTTTATGAACATCGCCAGCAGTAGCACGTACTGGAAGGGAATTTGTGATGACACAGTTGGGCCGAAGGTATGAAAGGGGGGATGTGGAGAAAGGGTGTCGAGCACAAGGACCATGGTCCAGGTGCTGCCGTGCGAGCATACATACCTCGGTGTAGCGCTTTGCCCTCCCGAGATGTAGGGTGCACCGCCAATGCTGGCGGCACGGGTGGCAAGAAAAAGCGTTGAACACGAGAACGATGCGCCTGCCAATCCGTGTACATCTTGCGAACACATGATCTCTTTCTTGCCCCCTCCAAAGGACTGTAGCTGTGGAGTTTCGGGTTTCCTTGATTGTTTCGTCACATCGAAACGGTCCGACACGCAACGTGAGCGTTTTAGCTCACCTGGACAGTCAACAAGACATTGTTGCCAGCGAATCCAGCCACATCGCCGACCTCCCTAGTTTCCGTCTCCTCCCCGTAGCTATTGAAACACGCCGTCCCCTAAATGAGACAGAGCGGGAAGGTGATGGGTTTCGTCGTATCATCAGGTAGGGTAATGTCTCGAGAGCGAGTTCAAGCAAAGTGGTGGTGCTTGAGCACGAACGGGGATTTGATTTGAAGGGAAATTGTTTAACATTTAACACACCGGTTGCACTTACCTCCGAATTTACCTCGCCAGGAAAGCTAAGGCCCAAAACCGTTCCTGACACTGGCCTGTGAAAGAGACCAGGAACACGAAGAAGGACTGGAGAAAAGTACGAAAACAACGCGCGATTTCTCGCGAGGTCTGATGCGAAATGCACTCCGACGCGTGCGATGGCATGCACGATGAACACAACAGTTGGTCCTGGGACGGAATTGATTGAAACCGCGGGGGGTGCCACCTGCCGTTTTCACGCAACAAGCAGAACAACATCACAGAACCATGTACTACGAGCGGACGGCACGTTCTGGTGAGACTAGATCAATACTAAAAGTATGCAGGATGAACAAAAAAGCTTGCTTTGTCATTGGGTGTCGGGGAAACCACCTGTCTATCGCGTCCCAGACAACCGCTAGTACCAGAGATTTTGTATAGTATCAGACGGAGATACTGACTGCCCAATGATGTGCTCGATTGTGAGGGAGAACTCCGGCAATCACTCCTCATTTTGACACTCTGCTCACAGGTATATCCAGGCCCAGAAGCGAGACCACCAGGTAATGCCGTTTTCCCAAGAGGTGAGGGTTCTGTTGCCGTTCGTAACGCTGGTCTTTGCAAGGAGAAACAGCACCAGGCACGCCTGGTCGTAGGCAAGGGCATTTCCAACATACAAGCGTTAGGCTTGCGCTTCGCCCATGCCCAGTTCGGATGGTAAATGTGGATATACTTCATGGAAATGCCAAAATGTTGGCTCGATACGTTCATATACAGAGGGAAAGCGGATATTCCTGACTGCCAACACCCCAATCATCGACGCAATCCATGGCTTCATGAACCGTGAAGCGATCTACGAATGAAACCTCGCGTACACCATCAGCTACCGCCTGTGGTGCGCTCACGTCGTAGAACAGGAGTGAAGCGATCCATGCTCGATGAGACACCCGGCACGAAGTATCCGAAGGGGGAAGCATGTACTTCGCTGCCCCTGCACCCATATTGACGGACGCAACAACGTGCATGGCCAGAAGCCTCCGGTGGAGCGTCCTGCCGCCGGTACCGCGTATTTTCATTCGGACGGCGCAATAATGGAGAAAAGCGGACCAGTCGGGGGCATGGAGCGAATCGCTCCGAGCTAGGACGGGTTCAACGTGTGTGCGTGATATGTTATCACACCAAAAAGGAGACGAGTCCAGTCACCACCCGTCGTACAAACCAATTAGGTACTGAAGCACTTATTGGCCATGATGACGTGAACGGTAATAGACATACTTTCTAAAATAATCAATTTGAAACTGAGCACAAGGGCAATCAGGCCGTTTCGTCCGTGGACGGTAGATATCATTCCTCTTGACCTTTAGGTACCGTTTTTGACTATGGCAGGTCACCTGCATCCCGCTGGAGAGTCGATACACTTCCGTCTGACATCTGCGGGAACTTTCACGACTTTTCATGGATGCTCATACAATTGTTTGTCGCGTGTCTCTTCGCGGAATACCGCCCGCGTAATGTAGAAAGAGTCATGTACCGCCTGTGTCTCAACGTTTTGCCAAATATCACCTTCATATCAGACTACTTATGGTTTGAACGAAATCCCCAAACCATGAAGATGGCTCGCGCTTGTGGCCGCCAGGAACAGGCTCACAAACAATTGCAGAACAAGACTTTCCGGCAAAAGCAAACTCGAGTCTTGTAAAACTCCGAGGCATATGAAATGAATGCTTGCATACGCATGCAACCTTCGAGTATCTCTAATGTCATTATACACGGTCTGAGAGCAGCCGTTCTCTGCATTTTTTGAACACCATGACCATGCGGTTCATTGCTCCTCCTGGTTGAACATGAAATGCCCTGTTTGAAAATGGTACTGGTTGACAGAGTATTTGCCGGGGTTTGCTCGTCATTTTCACCAACGAAGAAGTAGTTTACCTCAGTCTCTAAGACCTACACTAACGAATTAGCTGAGATTTTGTCGTCGAGAAACTGCAATCCCACCCAAAATCAACGAACCCGCTTTTCGAAGAAGAATAACCAAAGTCGAGGACAACGGAAGAGTCCCATCGTCAACGCCACTTAACTGGAGCAAGAGAGCGACCCTTCCAATATGTTGGAGTTGGAACCTTGAACTGCTCTACGTGAAGGGAAGGTTCGCACCTGCGAGATGGTTGAGTTCGGTCATTTCGATGGCAGATTGTTTTTGATCAACCAATGGGGTGCACGAAAGCAGATCCAAGGTCAAGACGCACAAAGCACACACGCGGGGATTGCCGTGGAGGCATATATCCGGGGGGGTTGCCAGATTGTCTTGGTGCGTTGAAGCGTTTTTGCTGACGCTATATCTTTCTCTATGTGAATAGTTCATCTAGGCGTGGCGATGCCAAGAGATGGTGGGTACCCTAAATCAAACCCAAGGTTCATGTCAGAAGCTTTTCTCCTGCACACATCCAATGGGCGTGTTGTGGAGCACCTGTTACCCGGTTCTCTGGGCAACACTTTCGAAACCCCGTAAAATTATCCGATGCAAAGAAACGCAGTCGCTCGGCTACTACGTCAGTCACTCGGAGCTTGTCTGCACGGCGTATTTAGAATCGTAGATATGAGGCTTTTCTTCGGGTACTATCTACTGTAGACGACCGGGTTGAATGGGGCCCCATGTTCACGCCCGGCAAGTGCAGAACGTGGATCTGGAGGCATGGGCATGGGCACGGCAACCACTCGGAAAACATGAATCTTGCGACAACTTGCGCGCGTACCATTTCGGGAAAGTCCGTGGCAGGTTGATGATAGGGCTTCATGACAACCAAACTATCCACACCGGGGCATATTTCGGGAAAGTCCGTGGCAGGTTGATGATAGGGCTTCATGACAACCAAACTATCCACACCGGGGCACAACTGAAGTACGCAATTCACCCTGCACTCGCCTCGTTGGGTCGTCAATGGGTATTTTCAAAAACGTACTGACAGCAGGTTGTGCATTCGATACTCCCTCTTAGGAGTGACAACAATGATCAACTCAATTGACCGTGAGTATTTTCAAGTGAACTTCACGGTCGATGAGGGGAAGGGACGGCTGAACCCTTCTTTCAACGAAAACTGCTGCTGCAGCGTTGGACAAGCACCCGCAGGAGGGTAGGTGGGAGATTGGCATACAACAAGCATTTCTAGCAGGCGTCCCGTGTAACCTTCCACCTGTGCGACGCCCGGCTGATACATCAAGCCGATCGATCGGTGAACCGTAGACTCTGGTGCCAGATTGTATGGGACCGAGCATACACACACACGTAGAAGTCTACAGATTCATCGCACCTACCGGTAAACCTGAACGTATTGCACATGTCGAAGCGGCGATGACGAAATGTGAACTTCTCAACGACTTTTTTTTCCGAAAGTTTAGGTACACAGTCGATGTTGAAACTTGAGTGCTTCTTCGAAATTGTCGTGCTGCGGTACGGATATAGTCTATTGTAGGTGCCAGCAGCATGTCCAGATGTAGGCTACAGTACCGGTCGCCCCGGTGGTCTAGTGGTATTCTCGTAATGCGTTAGTCGCAGAGGTCGTGAGTTCGACTTCCCATGGGGTGAAAAAATTACAAAATTTGCGGGTGAAAGCGAAAATAGCTAAAAAGCTGTCGTGAGTACCAAACTTCGACGTTAGCACCGTTGACGAGGGAAAGGGACGGCTGGCCCCTTCTCGCGATACAAATAAAATTCGGCACGCACCGCAGGAGGAAGTTGGGGTATGAAAAGAAACAAAAATAAAATAAAGCGAGGGTGTTTAGACTACCCCCTCCTTCCTGTTTGACCCTGGATGGTTGTAGTGGTACTCTACATAATACATACGCTGAAAAGTGTTACTACAGTAGTACACGTCTCACCACGAAAAATGGGGGGACTGTCGCTATTATAAACAGGACGAAAACACACTCACACACAACTCCGCTCTTTGCATCAGTGGCTTCCTAGATTCGAGCGAGGGCATTTGTGTAGCTGAGATGTGTGTCTACGTGAAAGAACATGTAGAGAGTCGTATTGGCATTCGCATCAAGCGCATTGCGCATTTTTCGAATTGTGGCCCCCTTCCAGGGACCTTGATTTTTACCCGTTGGCACTGACGTCTTTTAATTGGTCAACTCGTTAGCGCGGTCGATGCTTATAATAAAAACACACACACACAACTGTGCAGTACTAGCAAGAAAAGTCGTTCGCCGGATCTGTAGACTACCGTGTATTCTTCGTAGCTACAATACCTACCCCGATTCTTCACAGCCCGCAACTCTGCCGCACGAAACGAGATACATACCTGAAATGGTGGCGTTGACCTTCTCGTCGATAGATTTTCGCGAAAACGCATCAATTTGCTTGGGCATCCTCGTCGTGTTGGAGGAATCCAAATGTGAACATCTGTGCGCGTGGCAACTTGTGCAACGTACTGTGCAGCTGTGATGTTATGCAAATGGCCGAGACCGATGTAGACTGATCGATAATTCGGGTGGCTCAGTTGTGTGCGATGGGAGTGTAGAGCAGCTCGGCCATAACGGGCCGTAGGGGTAGGTAAAGTCGTACAGACGTGTTGTATCCGTGTTGTCGTGTTGTATACGTGTTGCCGTGTTGTATTTGTTGGGGGCGTGCTCGTGCTCGTCAAACCATCACGGTATCGAGTCACGCCTTCATGCTTTCTCACACAACGAATCTCTCTGAATCCTCACCAAAAGCCTCTCACAACCAAGGAAAATATGTAGAAAGTTCCTGTTCCTCCGCATCTCATCACTGCAATATTCGTACGTACGTACATAACATCTCAACCATCATACTATGCTACGAGTATATCGAATAGCCCCCCTGCTCGTATGCATCGTCATGCTCCGGGAAAATATCATAGTCATCCTTCT